GGATTGCCTTGACCCAGATGCAGAACCAGTGCTGGTTTAACCCCTTCACCACACACGTAGTTTCCCCTCACACAATCAAAATCTCTTCTGCCTTAATTGTTATTGGTGATAAGAGAATTGACAAGGAGAACACGTGTCTATGTGCTTCCGAAAGAAGATTGAATTTGTTTTCATCTCCATAGGTGGCTCAGCATCTGGCTTCAACATATGGTGACAAGGCTTTTGAGGTGGCTAAAATAGCCCAAGTTACAGGAAAGAGATGGCCTATCGTTGGGAAACGTCTTGTGTCTGAATTCCCTTATATAGAAGCTGAGGTATGTGGAAAAACTGCCCGATGTCCTGTGGTTCTCTTCCTGGGATAAACAGGCTCTCGAGTAGGTGCATCTTGCTCTGTAGAACATCCTCATAGCCCTTTCCTTTGGTGAGGTCCTGTTCTTTCTGTTCTTTCTCCCCCTCCTCAGAGCATGCTTTATTTCTGTGTTCACCTATACAGGTATTAATATATTTATATATCATTTAATCATTACATAGCGTGTGGGTTTTATCTCCTATGTGTATATGCACACTCCATCCCAGCTCCACGTTACAAAATGAAAGGGAGCCTTTCAGACCCTGCTGCTGGCTGGGAGGGTTCTCCTGGCAGAGGCAGCCCCCTGGGGCGGTGGGTGGCACAGGGTGCCCGTGCTGTGCCCAGCCCTGCTGCCCTGCCCTCCCCACAGGTGGTGTATGGGGTGAAGGAGTACGCCCGCACCGCCGTGGACATCATCTCCCGCCGCACCCGCCTGGCCTTCCTCAACGTGCAGGCTGCAGAGGAGGCCCTGCCAAGGATCGTGGACATCATGGGGAAGGAACTCAACTGGAGTGAGCAGAAAAAGAAGGTACAAAGGGCCCTTTTCATCTGAGACTGGTTTGTTTTCCCTAAGCGGTTTCCATGTTAACGATGTAAATTAGCCGAATAGAAAACTTCAAGTGATGCTTTCTCCCTGAGAGGATGATTCACTTGGCCTGTTTGTTGTAAGGATTTTATCAGAATAGCTGTGAAATGAGTTGGCATCGGCCAGGAGGCGAAGGGGAAAGTGAAAGTCTTTATCCTGGTGTTCCCCAGCTTTAAAAGTGGAAGTAGGCTTTGATATTACTGTCCTAGTCCCCTTCAGTTATTTTCTTTAGTGGCACTTTTCAACAGGTCTGCCTCAGAAAAGGAGGATCTGGGAACCCGTGTCCCTCCTTTTTGTCTGCTGTGTCTTTTGAGATGTGATGCTGCTGAGGTTGCACCATTCTCTGACCTGAGTCAATGTTTGTGGTCATTGTTCCAGTCCCTTGCCCAGTTCTTTGTTGTCCAGAATTACTGGGCAGGGTCATCTTAAAGGTCTGTTCCAATCAAAGCAATTCTGTGATTCTGTGGAAGTTGACAAGTGCTGGGTGCTCGTGTGAGCTCTTGGACGCCAGCGAGGCAGGTTCTGCATTCCCTGAGTGTCCATGGAGGTTTCTTCTGGAAAATCCTCCTGGTCTTTCCCATGGGTCTGTGAACCCCTGTAGTTCCTGAGCGCCCCCTGCAGCCGGGGGAGCAGCTGTGGGTGAAGGGGCCTTTCACAGGCCTGACCTGCAAGGGCCGTTCCTCATGAAATCAGAAGGTGCCCCTCCTGTGACCAAAGGTGTGGTAGGACCCCAGAAGTGTCTCCACACTAGTTAGAAGTCTTTACTAGACTTGATATCTCTTTTCAAGGCTAAAAAGTGCCTAAGCTAAATTTATTTTTTAAATACTTCTCAGCTACTGTCTGCCTGATTCTTGGACCTCAGATAAATTCTAGTTAAGTGGAAGAAGCTAATAAATACTCCATTACAAAGGCTTGTGGAAGAACTTGCTATTCCTCAGACAGCTTTTCTGTTTTTTTTGTTCTAGGAAGAACTTGAGGCTGCTAAGAAATTTCTCTATTACGAAATGGGCTACAAAGTAAAATCAGATCAATTAACAGACAGCTCTGAAATCAGTCTAGCACCTTCAGATATTGAAAGGTGAGTAAAGTAAAAGAGTTCCCTGTGCTGCTGGGAATTAATACCTGCCATTCAGAGTGAAGTTTCCCCACTGATAATCCTTATCTCGCAGGTACAAGAAGCGATTCCACATGTTTGACAAGGAGAAGAAAGGGTTTATTACCATCCTGGATGTGCAGCGTGTCTTGCAGGTAACGTTTCCTTGTGTTCTTTCAGTTTCCTTTCTGAGCTTCTTATCTAAATTTCATGAGTGTGGCAGGAGCAGTGCTGAGCAGCCCAGCTGACACACTCCTGTGCTCCTTCTGCTTTTGTCCAGAGCATCAGCGTGCAGATTGCTGAAAACACACTCCACGAGATCCTGAATGAAGTGGATCTGAACAAAAACGGGCAGGTGGAGCTCAACGAGTTTTTGCAGGTGGGTGTTTCATCCTCACAAGAGAAGCTGTAGCTGATGGAGCACGGCCTAGGTGTTTGATTTTTGTCCCTCTGTGCTGAAGGGCTGGGGACCAGGCGGGTGTTGCCTGGGCACAGCTGCAGTGCTGCTGTTATCTGCCAGATCACGAGGTCAGCGACTGCTGAGCTCTCCTCAAGCAGCTCTGAAATTCAAGGTGGTTTTTTTTTCCCCACGTGCAGAAACAATGAGACCCGAAGAACAGGTCTGATTTACACTGTCCCACAGCACAGTACGGACCTGAATTTGCCTTTTTTTAACACAGAAAAGCTGCTTAGGTGTGTTCAGAAGGATACAGCTGTCCAGGGTTACGCACAGCCACGTTTTGCTGGCTCTGTTAAGGGATGAGTAGCTTCTAAAGTAGTTTGAATATTTTAAAGAACGACCCTGTGGTTAAACACACCCATCCCACAGAGTGCCATTGTCAGTGCGGGAGGGGCTGACGTGGTGTCAGTCTGTGAGGAGCAGGCTCCACCCACAGCCCTTTGCCAGAGCCCAGACCTGCCCTGCCCGGCCCTGCTCAGCTCCCCGGGCACCCCCCGGCCCCTGGGGCTGCTCCTGGCTGGAGTGTGGAGTGACTGCCACGGCTCCCCTGCCTGCTGGCAATGATGAATGCTGAACATGAGATAAATTAATGCTGGGGATTTTGGTCAATGTCAGCCCTTTCTTCACTGTGTCAAGTTAAACAAACAAGATCAAGGCAAAGGAAATGGTAATTGTCTCTCTCGAGATGAGCTGTAGATAAGAGCAGCATTGTTGAATCTAAATGCAGAAAATTTTCACAGGTTGTGTCCAGCATTAGAAAAAAGGACTATTTATTTGCCTAAAAAGCAGCAATTTAGCTGGGAAACTGAAATGCACTTTCAGGAAGGGGAGTAAAAAAAAAACCAAAACAAAACACCAAACTGTGAGGGGCAAAGAAACAAGAAGGGCCTTGGGAGTTTCTGATTTTGTGTTCCAAGATGAGAGAAAATCTGAGATGCTTTGCTGGCTATTGGAAGGGTCTCCCTCTTACATCCCTTTGCAGGGGAAGCTTCTCATTAGGGGGAGGGAAACCACCATTCCCTCTCTTTGGTTAGTTTGCACACGTTGTGGTTAGGAAGTTTTAACCACCAGTCATTATCTCCTCTGTGGGTGTTGTGGTGGTTCTTTGGGGTTTTATTTCAGTGTGTCAAACGGCCTCATTAGGGGTTGCCTGCACAAAGTCATAATGTCTGTAAGGTACAAAAGGCAAGTCCCTGTTGTGAGGTGGTTTCACAGTAGCCCTGTGGCTCCTGGCTTCTCCTGGACACTTCCAAGTGCAATCCAAACACTCAGCACTAGGGACCATCCCTGGTGCTCCACACCTCCTGCTGCCAGGGCCAGGAGCAGCAGGCAGGGGGCTGAGGAGGAAGTGCACTAATAAAATTAGCAGGAGGTTGCCATGGAAGGAACAAAATACATAAGATGTTTATTTAATTTGTATTTTTAATGGGTCTGTTAAGTCAGTTCCCAATACTTTTGTGTTTGCTCTCTGAAAACTTGCAGGCAGTGGTGTTCTGCCACGAAGTGCCTGTGGGCAGCCACGTGCAGACACTGTGTTTCCATCCAAACACAGGGACAGGCCGTGCCAGGGGGCTGCTCCTGGGGGGCTGAGCAGGGCCAGGGGCTTCCCTTCAGCCAGCTGCAGGTGGCAGCTGGAACTCAAGTAATCCTAGAAGCATAGGAGGGTTTAGGTTGGAAAAGACCTTCAAGATCAACCAGTCCAACCCTCCCCCAGCCCTGCCAGGTCCCCACTGCCCCGTGTCCCTCACACCACATCTCCACGGCTTGGAAACCCCTCCAGGGGTGGGGACTCCACCACTGCCCTGGGCAGCCTGGCACAGGCCTCCACAACACTTGAAGGGAACAAATTGTTCCTCAAGTCAAACCTCAGCCTCCCCTGGGGCAACTTGAGCCCATTGCCTCTTGCCCTGTCCCTTGGGAGCAGAGCCCGACCCCCCCCTGGCTCCAGGCTCCTGTCAGGAGCTGTGCAGAGCCAGAAGGTCTCCCCTGAGCCTCCTTTGCTCCAGGCTCAGCACCCCCAGCTCCCTCAGCTGCTCCTCCCCACACTTGGCCTCTAGACCCTTCCCCAGCAGCTTCGTTGCCCTTCTCTGGCCACGCTCCAGCCCCTCAAGGTCCTTCTTGGAGTGAGGGGCCCAAAACTGACCTCAGGATTTGAGGTGCAGCCTCCCCAGTGCTGAGTCCAGGGGGATGATCCTGCCCTGCTCCTGCTGGCCACACCAGTGCTGATCCAAGCCAGGACTTCTCTTGCTGGGCATAGCTACTGCTCTTAAACTGCTGCTGGTCCATCTCCATCACCTGCCTCAGGGCTGCACAGGGTAATCAAAACACCTTCAGATCACAGAATCCCAGTGTGGTGGAGATCAGAAGGGACCTCAGAGATCATCTCATCCAACCCCCTGCTCCAGCAGGTCACCCACAGCAGGGTGCCCAGGGTCACAGCCAGGTGGGTTTGGAATCTCCACAGCCCCCAAGTACTCCACAGCCTCTCTGCTCCAGGCTCTGCCACCCTCACAGGAAATATTTTTTTCCCCCTGCTCAGGTGGCACCTCCTGGGTTCCAGCTGGTGCCCGTTGCCCCTTGTCCTGGCTGGTTTGCCCCCAGCCTCTTGGCCCCATCCTTCAGATGCTGAGGAGCATTGCTCAGATCCCCTCTGAGTCTTCTCCAGGCTGCACAGCCCCAGGGCTCTCAGCCTATCCTCTTTCAGGGAGGCTTCTCCAGCCTCGGCTGGCTCTGGGAAGCACAGGGGGGTTCCCTTCTCTCTCTTCCCCTCCCAGATGCTGTTCCAGCTTTGACAGGGTTGATCCCACATTTGCATAGGTCCAGCTGCAGATATAATTAATAGATTTTCCTATGGAAGGGGAGAAAGCTGAAGGATTCTTAGCACTCGGTGGGAGTAAGAAATTGCATTTTCTAAGTGCCAGTGGCTTTCCCTGGTAGTCTTTGAGAAGCTGACTGCATGTAATTTTGAGTCTAATGCTGACTTTATCCATGGGATAAAAAATAATTAACTAAAATCTTAGCACTAGTGTGTGTTCGTTAAGATAGAGCCGAGCCCAGTTTCAAGGACTTAAAAGCAAATTAGTTTTAAAAGTCTATAAAGGAATTTGGATTTGAAAGAATTGTGGAAGTCAAGTGCACTGTCCCCACAAAGGAGGGCAGGTGCCTGGGAAAGAACGTGGTCCAGGGGCAGCAGCAGCTGAGGAGTGGAGCTCTCCTGGTGGTGACATCCTCCAGGTCTCAGGAGGAATTCCACAGGGGAAGCAGAAGCTGTGTGGTGGGTGGGCTGTGCCGCACCCCTCGGGGGCCCCGCAGAGCCTGGGGTGGGGCTG